GTGTGGGTGTAAGTGGGGGTGTGGGTGTGGGTGTAAGTGGGGGTGTGAGTGTGGGTGTTACTATCAATGAATCACCCGTACTAACACCCACACCCACCCATACCTTTGTGACGCATGAGATTCATTGGCAACTGTGTGATTGTTCGGAGTATTTTTTATGTATTCCTTGTCGAAAGTCATTCGAGGAGTGTGTGTTTGTCAAGAAAGAAATTGAAAAACAATAGAAATGAATGCAGTTACTTGCATATGCAACACAGCCATTACACACGTTATTCACCTTGACAATGCATCTAATTCTTCCACTTTTTTTAACGACAGAGCGCAGTGATGGTATATCATTTGTAATTCATTTTGTAATTAATCAATCATTGTTCTTCTCTTACATCTCGATTTATCAAATATTCAGTTATTGAACTTCGTTTAATTACAAAATGTTATTGATAATCTTTGCTTTGTTACAGTTCGCTGTGACTTTAATTTTGTTTCATCATTTCTTACTTGAGAAATGACCGAAAATAGGTCTTGCATAAATCCAATTAATAATATCATATCGATTATTATATCGTTTGTCCAAAGATTTGCATTCTTCATCTCGAAGTTATTCATCAAGCCATCTGCTATAATTCTTGACAATCTGTTATCTTTTTGATGCTTCGTGTGTATCAATTGAAGCACTCATTGGAATTAATGTATCTATTCCCATAGATTCTAGTTCAAATGACCATTTTTCCGTTCTAGTATAGAACGCGAGTGTCAGAAGAGGCTATGCAACTTTTAGAAAGCATCATCCTCATTCCTGCATCCATCTTCACACCTTCACCTTCATACCTTCGCACTCACCCTCACATTCTCAAGAAATCGGATCTTATCTACCATTTCCCTATGAATCAAAGATATATGGGAAAAATTCTACTGTGTCTTTTAAACACTGGCAATAATAGTCGATGAACACAAACATAAACACACACAATAATCATTTTCTTAGAAAAAGATTCTAGCTTTAGCGTTAAGACAAGATATGTCTGCACTTTTAAAGTTTTTACTACGAAACCATTTATGAAGCACCAATCGAAGACCGATGTGACATGAATGATCTCAAATCGCTTTTAACACTTGAACTTTCTTGTTTGTTGAACGAATGCTCATCGTTGATCACGCCGACAATCAATAACACATTGATAGATAAATATGATATTTATTATCTAATGTATTGAATTCTATCTCATCGATTGAAAATGTTCGTCCTGGAGGTAAAAGAACTTCTTCCTCTTCTGGAAAATGTGAAAACGAGGAAATATCGAGACTATTTACGTGTGGACCACTGATCGTAATTATGAATAATGTGTTGCCATAGATATTTGCTAGATTTCGGTTTTTTGTAGTTGATACAAAGCTGTCCCATTGTTGAAAGGTACCGCGTGCCTGCTGATAAAGTTTGACTTGCTCGGGATTAAGCAATAAACCACGATAAACGACACCCGTGTAATGATATTCTTGTAATAAAACGAAACTATGATTTAACATTGAACAAAACGGTCCGAGAGTATTGACTTTAGACATATCACGATTCCTCAATACTTCATTAATTAATTGGTATAAAAAGGTTTCTCTCGTGTATAAATTCAGACAGAATTTTTGTATTTCCACGATACCATTTTTGGCAATTGATATTAGAAGGCCGGCAATCTCATTTGCTTGATCAATATAATTGTCTTTGCCTAACTTCTGGCCATCGATCAGGATGCCTTGAGCCGCTTTTTCGACTTTTTCATCTTCGCAATGTAACCAATGTTCAGCTTCCCATCGACTATAATTCCATTGATTAAGAAACTCGCTGTTCTCTATCCATTGGGCAACAGTAAACGTGTCTGAATTTGGTAGCGATAATACGGGTTGTTCGCATGAAAAGCGTTGAACTCTCAAACTCATCTCTTCTGTTACCTTTTCTTCTGGGAAAAATCTTACACTAACATTGCTGTCTTGACATCGAATGAGTCAGAAATGAGCCGGCATTCCGCTTTGTCTTCCTTTCTTTCGTTTTTTCCTCTTTTCCTCTTTCATTGGGTTTCTTCAAAATTTTCTTTCCGACTCCATTTCTTCGCATTTACTACAAAATCATACTCAACGATGTTTATGTTTTGCAAAGAAACAGCACAGAACACGCCAGAAAGAAATGCTTTAAAAAAAACAGCAAGAGAGGAAAAAGAGGCGAGTTGAAATACCAGGAAATGAGAAATGAGTGCTTTGGTCTTTTTTTGCTTTCTATTCATTGGCTCAGTGTCACAGTATCAATGACGTTCTGGCAAGACAAAAACAACTGTTGTTGTAGAGTTGCCATTTTATTCTACTCACATCCGCTCATCCCTGGGTGGGCCTCGTCAGATTGCTTTTCTAAAAAGTGGTGAGTTGTACGTCCATCAACAGAAACTTGGTCGATTACTGATAGTATGAGAGACACAACAAGAGCATTAAACTTCTTTGTTAGCAAATGGAAAAGTATTGGTGCGGCTAGTTCTACTGATAGTCAGACTCGGAATAGTATTGAACTTTATGATCCATCCGTGGTACATCAGTGATAAACAACGGATTCCCTATTGATGATGTCATCCTACATTTTATCTGTGAATCACGATACTCTTATTCTGATAAAACGACTTGAAATCTTTCGGTGAGAGTGAGGGTGATCGTGGGTGGATATGTATGTGAATAGAAGAACACAAGACAGAAGAGAAATATTTCGATGAATTTATTATTTCTCTCGATATGTGAAAGAACTATTTTTGACAGCATATCGATCCCAAAAACGTGAACAAGTAAGATCATAATAGGCACGTCGCATTTGTGAAGTGATATCGAGAACAAAGTCATCGTCGGGCGAGCTCGAATAAGGATCCCAACTTGTCAGACCGTTGCCATCGTTAGGATTCGATGTGTGGATGAAATTAGCCCAATAGCGCATCATATTTGTCGACAATTGCTTCTCGGATTCAGTAAATTTGTAACCAGGATACACGAAGGGTAGAAGATCTGGAAAGAGCATAAGAAGTTCAGCAGCATGGGCCACACCTAAACACGAAGGTGTCACAGGTATGAGATGGTTATACGTATAGAGATAAGAGGTCAACCCATAACTAGAGAATCTAGAAGTGATACGTCTGGATTCACAATGTGCCCACGAGTCGCTGTAGACAATGTTTAGATAAGTCAGCGGATTTTGATAGGCTGAAATGGGACCATAGATTGTAGGAATTTCATTGACAATAGTGGTATTGTATATAGCGTTGAAGAATGCTTGAACTTGTGCAACACTGGCTTTTTCGTTAAAATATGAGCAGGTAAATGAAGATGTCTCATTGGTAGTGGAGCCGACCAAGACGGGAACTCGTCGAAAGTCTCCTCTGGCATAGTAGTTTTCCATGATATCTTTGAGAAGATAACCATCGATCACTGGAGAGCCGACTACTCCGAAGATACTTTTCGATGCCATGGTAGCTTGCACTTTGAGGATTTTCTGTGCTGTAAGATCACGCAAGCATTGTACCGTAGTGCAATTGAAATTGACCCGCAAAATTTTACCAGTACTTTTGATGGCCGTTTCCATGGTGCTAACAAAATTGGGCCATAAAGCACCACTTTCGATAATAGCTCTCTGAAAAGTACCATTGGTCACCAAGGGTGATGTGAGCAAAATGGTGACACTGATACCTCCAGCACTCTCGCCACCAATAGTAATTTGGTTTGGATCACCACCGAAACCAGCGATATTTTCTGTGATCCAGTCTAATGCCATGATCTGATCTAATATGCCATAATTACCAGTAGTGCTTCTGTTATTATTGCCCGATCTTTCATCATATAACCCTTCATCAGCCAGGAAACCGAGTAGACCTAGTCGATAGTTGATTGTCACGACCACAACAGGAACAACATTGTTGATGCTTGTGCTAACGAATGGACGAGCATCATACAAAATACCTGCTCCCGCAGTAAAACTACCTCCATGGATCCATACGTACACAGGTAAATTACTTGCATATGCAGGACTGTACACATTCAAAGTGAGACAAGATTCCGTCGTCGGAAAAATGTAGGTATTTGTTTGAGGACAAAGATTGGGAAAGTATGCGTATTTAGTACCATTGGACGCCTCAAGAGACTGAGGAGGCCTCCATCTCAAATTACCGATCGGTTGCTGGGCATAAGGTATACCGTACCAATAGTTGATGTCCGTACCGTTTACTGTTGTTTGAAGGCCAACGTAAACACCCTGTTGTGTTTGAGCGGTAGGTGAAGGGTTGCTCGCTGCAATGACAGGAATAATGTACGAAATGGACAAGAATACTAATGCAAGAGTTTCTGTGACGATCATGATGCTTTTGTGTATGTTCCTGGTTGTATATCAGTTATAGGTATTTTTTATATGCCCGTCGATGATACTGCTATCAAAGACGTTAGAGAACTGTAAAATACTTCACTTCGTCTATTTTGTATTTGACTAGAGCGAAGAAATGTGAGGTTATCATCGACAGTATCTACACCATATGATATGCTTACCTTTCGCGCGTTATCTTCCTTTTTTCTCTCATGTATTCGAATATAATTCAAGAAAAAAAAATGAAGACTGCGCAGCTGGAATAGAAAGAAAAAAGAAACTAGCAGAATTTTGCTAAGAATGTTCTCGAATAAAAAAAATCATGCTTCAATTTACGTATTTACGACGGTAGTTCGAAAATTCAAAGTCTCATACATGAATAGTATTCCGTGTGTCTGTGTGTAGGTGTGTGCAAGCTAGCAAGACGATCGTTTCAACCTTATCTAAGGATCCTAACAAGTGGGTCGACATTTATCTGTTCTTTTTTTATGGTGTTTGGGTTAGTTTCAAGCGATTCTTGAAGGTGAGCTCAGCTATCATTATCAAGATTTCATGTCGGCTAGGACAATCATTAGATGTTAAATACAAAGTTGTGCATAACTTTTTGCTAGGAGGAGAGAAAATGACACTATGATACCATGTTAGATACCCAATGGATTCTATACACCAAATGAAAGCCCGTTGAAAGCTGGATCTAGGACTGGTGATCCTACAATTCAAGAGATAGAGATACTCGTTTCAAAATTGAAATGAAGAAGATTCTATAACTTTTTCAGAGAAAAGTATAGTATTGAGTACAACTGTTCTAGCTGTAAGCGATGTATCGATAGAAGCCATTATCAGATATGAATAGAAGTGATACATCAGTATTGTGTGAAACTGCCATTGGCTTCACGGACAGCTCTCAATGGTTGAGAAGTTCTCTTTTGTTCTTCAGTTCATGAAGAATATCTTGAAGATGTTTAAGCAGAGCGGTGCTCATTGAGCATCAGCCTTTCTACTTTGTCCATGACGATTGATCCAATATTTTCCGCTACATTGAGCTACCAAGAACTACCTGGCCATTCTGTTCGGTCGAAGAAATCAATGCCACAGTCATTGAGCATCTGTTGAGTGCTATTTGCTTTGTGACACGAAGCGTGATCATGAAGATAAACGACTTCTGCTGGATCTAATAAGTTTTTAGAATCAGAAAAGAGCATAATCACATTTTCTGTCAGGATACATTGTCGATAATAAGCTCTATTCCTCGGTGCACAATTATCTTTGATAGCAGTACAACATATGAAAACTCCAATGCAATTGGGCGTCGCACCAAAGTCTTAATACCGCTCATTGTTTTCGACATCTTCGAGCGAAACCGACCACATTCTATCTTTTCGATGGTTTGATCGACAATGAAATCATGATCGTCCCACTGACGCGAGTAATCACAATGCCACAGGGAATTTTCAATGTTTGTCACCTACTTCATTAGCTTTGGGATTAGATGAAAAGCTCTGAACCCTTGCTTGACACGGAATCATAGAATAGTTGACAGACTAACGATCTTTCCGCACTTCTCGAAGATCTCCTTCGGCATTCGCTTGCAGTTTCTCCACCCTTTTCCATCACAATTTTTTGCTTTATTCAGATAATTCTTCCGATCTTCCATCGCCAAATTTCGTAAAATAGTGTTCATATCCTTTTTTTCAGTTGTCCGTAACCCATGTTTCATTACGATGCAGCTTCTAAGCTATCCACTTTCGGTTGATACACTTTGCATCTTCCTGAGATTGAGGCTGAGGAAAAGAACATCACCCTCACCCTCACCCTGACCTTCAAGTGATCTTTTTTGCATTGTCGCATGCTTTCGCGATTTTGCCAGTGCACGTGGAACAACACGAAAACATCTTCAATCATCATTACAGTATTAATAGCGCTGTCGTTGATTTATGATTCGTCTGCTACATTGATAACGATTAGCAATGTATTATCTCGACTAGACGTGGCTGGGTGTGGGTGGGGTGGGTTTTGATCTTGTTTTACTGGCCACACCCACCCACACCCCACACCCACACCCTTAGTAGAAGAAACAATCAAGAAACTATTTAGAAAACAATAAAAATAATTACTTCAATGGAATGTGACTTTCAGTCAAAGCGACAACGATATTCATTCGAAGTATTGTTGTTAAATGAAATTTTTGTTTTCCAATCTCGAAGTATGAAATGTTCGTGAACATTGATATACATTATAATACAAAATAAAAATGTTGACAAAGATGTTCAACTAATCTTGTTTTTATTGTATATATGATATATTATATTAATAAATGAAAATTGGCATTCATTTGATTGTCATTAGTAATCAACTGATACGTTAAATATTAATAGAATAATAAATCTACGATTGATAGTAATGTTTGTTTCAATTGAATGACAATTTTGTTTTGAGACAATAGAGAAGAAGATGCTTTTCTTCTTTTGAATTCATATTATTATCAAAGCTGTTGTGTACAAAATAAATGTTCTAAAGACTACAAATTAATAAAGAGATGTCAAATTGAAAATGAGAGTATTTTCATGAGACATTCACTATTGCAATCATTCGAATAAATTAATGGTTTAATGATGAATGTTAATGATGTAAGAAATGATGTACCATTGTTTTTTGTGTATGCATAACAATTATGCAAAAAATTATCAAGAAACTTAATATGAACCTTTGAGATTAATAGTACAATACTTTTTAACCATCAATTTGTGCTTATAGATATTGAAAGAATAAATGACGAAGTGAAGATTTCAGAAGCTATTGATTTTTCTCAAATATAAGGGTGTGGATGTGGATGAAGAGAAGACCGATACCGACATCTACACTCTGTTAACATTATGGTAGCTCTACTCACCCTCACCTTCAAGATAGCGGACAATATATTCTATTTTTTAAAACAAACATAATGCTAATTTATGTGCATTGCGCGATACAATCTTCTCTTCTTTATTTACAATAAAAAAACCTTACTCTTGTGGCAAAAGTAATATGTGTGTAAAATGAAGCAACTAATTATCTCAGTTTAAAAAAAGCAAAATTTAAGCAAAATATAAATGTGGTTTATTGTTCGTCAGTAATTTTCAAGATCAGTTTTCCTTGTGCTTTGCCACTCTTTGATTTTTCATATAATTTATAAATTGCTTCGACGCCATCTTTTTGCCAATCAAAAACTGTATCAATTAGTGGTTTGACTTTGCCTGTTTCCAAATATTTCGTGCGTATATCATCCAATTCTTGATGGGATGTATGAAGTAAATGAAAAATATACGAATGATGTGACGAACAGAAGACGGAACCCAATTTTCGTGACATTATATGGGTTCCCATTGTTAACGCCGATTTCAATGAAACACTAGCTTCTGGATCATCACCCGCTATTGTAACAAACTGACCTCCCCGTTTGAGTATCCGTTGGGCAGCTACCCACTGTTGTTCACCACCGACACAATCGTATACTAGATCATAATTTTTATCTGAACAAAGAGCAAGACATTGGTAATTAACGAAACTCGATTACAGTTATTATTACCTTGTAGTACTTGGCCAAAATCTTTGCTATTGTAATCAATGACAAACAATTGTTGTGGATCGTCTTTTGTTTCATCACTTTCTTGAACAATTTTATAACCTGTAAATCTCATACTAATATATAATGAGTAGATAAAACAAGAAACATACTAACCAAGCTTTTCCAGCAAACCAAAGTTCCTTTGTGAAGATGTTGTTGCCACATGAGCACCTACTGCTTTGGCCATTTGAATGGCATACCAACCTGTAGCTGTAGCACCTCCACACACGAATACCTTACTTCCCGGTCCAATAGGAGGCGATGCTTTATTGAACAATACCTGATAGCTTGTTTCACATGCCAAAGGCACCGCTGCTGCTTCTATCATCGTTAAATTATTTGGCTTAAGAGCAAATTTTGACTCATTTCCACGTACAAATTCAGCATAGGTACCACCATCGCCGCTAAGATTTCCGTAGACTTTGTCGCCGATTTTCAAACGTTTTACTGACGAACCAACATTGACCACGACTCCAGCAACATCATTGCCAGGTATGTGAGGAAACGAATATCGATTGACATGAGACATATTGCCATTTAACAATTTCCAATCGATCGGATTGATTGAAGCGGCGTGAACTCGTACAAGAACTTGATTACATGATAGTTGCCGAGGAACAAGCACATCCGATCGGAGAGTGATGACATCACGTGCTTCACCATAGCTATTCTGCTGAGCAGCTGTCATTACCGATGGAATACCATCTTCCGTCTTGGATGTTGTCGATTCAGCCATATTGATAAAGCTCGCTTCGAAGAAAATATTAATTAAAACTATCTATTTGTTTCGTTACCTTTTTTTTTCTATTGTCCTTGATGAGAATTTAAAGAAAATATCAAAACTTTCACTGCGCAAACACAATGATTAATGGTCTTATCTTTCACGATGACTATGCAAATTTAAAAAACTACAGAGCAACAAGAATATTTTTTCTGTCCTTATATCATCACACTTGATGTGAGCGAGTGAAAGATGAATAAAATACACGT